CTCTACCTCCTCTTATAGAAGTGAACAATAATGAAGAATTTGAAGTGGAAGAAGTCATAGATTCTAGGCAGCGCCAAAATAAATTGAAATATTTTATTCATTGGTGCAGATATGATATTAGTGAATGCACATGGGAGCTAGTAAGGAATCTTGCAAATGCAAAAAAGGCAGTGGAGGCTTTTCATCAATGACATCTATTAAAATCAAGATGAAAACCTTTCTTATAAAAGAAACAAGATCTAGGTAAGATAACATTCTACTTTTAATCCTTGTTTGTAGCTTCTTTGTAGTTGTGACGCTCAGAAGATGGAGAAGCAACATCTAGTGGATTCGACTTAAGAGCCTTTATTTGCTAATTTGTCGGATGAGACATTACGATTGCCACAACCTTCAAGATGACATGATCGAGATGAAGATCTTTAAGAACGACATGTTCTTCCTTGAATAGATATTGAGATACAATGTTGTTGTGTTGTGGTTCGGTTACTATATGAAAATAATATAATTATGTATTTAATATATAATTTACTAAGGAACATAGTGAGAGCCATGTTAATAGATTTTAGTTGGTTGAAGAATATAATTTGATTATTATGTTGAAAAGAGGTTGTTTAAAAAAATTACTATAAAATTTATATAACTTTAATTTTTTTTGATAGTGGTTTTTAAGATTGGTTTTGATTGATAATAAGTTCTAAATATTTAGAATCATCTTTATTAGACATTGGTGACCTTTGAAAATTTATTTTGGTTCTTTTATTTGGTGTTTAGAGCATAAATTATATGAATCTTATAAGAAAAAAGATTGAAGAAGGATTTTGGTAACAAAGGGAGTAATTAAGGCACTAATATAGATGAATGGAGATGGATGATGAAAATCTCCATTCCTATTGGTCAAAAATCATGACCAATGGGATTTGAGGAAGTTGCTCGAAGCCATATTAGGAATTAGAGTTAGTTTTTCAAAGCCATTCGGGCTTTAAAGGCCAGAATCAACAAGTTTAGGATTTTGGCTATGGTTTTGGTACAAATCTTGTATAATTTGGAATTTATTTGAAGGAGATATAGGCGCTCAAAGTTAAGGTATTGATTTCGAAGCTATTATCAATCATTTTGATATAACACACGCATACGGAGGGCAATTGAGGATCTCTAGTTGCAATTAGAAAGAGCACTTTTGCGGCTACACTTTTGATACACTGCTTACTAGATTCCAAGTTGGAATGAAGGAGTTATTGGATTTTGAAGTCAATACATGCAATCTAAGGGTAGTAAGTGACCCAATTTACTTGTGGTTGTGTCTTGAACTATATCTAAAGCAATTTGATAAGATTTTGGCTCAAAATTTTAAAGAATGTGTAATTTCATGTTAATAAAATTTTTACATAAGTTTTATGATATTTTAATATTGGATTCTTGAGATATTAAGAAAATAGTGCTCAAGTGCTTGTAAATTAGGGATTAGAGCATCTACTAGGATTTCTCAGATGCCAACAGTTCGGGAGTGAATTTGTTGTTGGTTTTTTTTTGTGGTAAAATTTAAAGGTGAATTCTACCTATTATATAAATTTGAAACAAATTGAAGAACTAGATCAAGAGTTATGAATTTCTAAAATTTGAGACAAGAAAATCCTTCACGGAAAAAATATGTTTTGAAGGGATTTTGTTATATTTTGAGTTTTATGCAAATCAAAGGAGTTTTGGAAGCTAAGAAAAGATTCATATAAAGGATTAAGCTAAACTCTCTACAGCTAGATATCTAGTGTATTCTCAGATAGCAAATCATGCCATATGAAAACGTGTTTGATATCATGACCTTTGGAAGAGACTCCCGATGTTAGGTGATTTTACTAGAGGTACAAACAACTTTTGATGGTGTTCCAAATGTTTTATTTGAAAGAAGTTATGATGGCCTCAACAATGATCAAATAATTGGATGGTCTTTCCACCTTGATATGGGACACTATTGATGGTTGAGAAGCCCTATCAATTATCTTTGAAGAAAACAAAGATCAAAGTATGTGGCAAATACAATTTGCCGCATCTTAGACTTCTTCGACATATGATTACCGCTCCTCATGGAACTTATCCCTAGAAGGGAGGAGTAATGTCACGGACATATATTTACTGTAATTGTTACCTAAGTGAAATGAATAGGTAGAAGTATGTAAAAGTAGATTAATTTCATAATATCTTCTAGATAAGCTTCTTTGAAGCTTTGTAAACACTGCTTTGACTTTATATGTATTTATACTTGTTTGATAGGTTAGAAACTTGGTCAATAAATTAACCACGTGCCATACATATTGGTAGCTTATGGAACAAGCTAATTATGTGGCATCCACATAAAAAACTTGTCTTGTAAGTTAAGATACATATTATGCAAAGTCAACACGTTTTTGGAGGTCCTATAGAATGTTGCCACATAGCTCTTAGATAGATAGTATATATAGAGGCAAGAATGAAGCCTTCTTTACTCTTGTCAACTCCTTTCTTACTTATAGTCTAGTTTCAAGGATCTCTACTTTTCTTGTCTTTTGGCAATAGCCATTCCAGTTTCTTTCTTAATATACATATTTAGTTATTTCTATTTTGTCATTCTTCTTTGAAAAAAGTCTTACTTGTTTATTTATTTTTATCAAGTTCTTATCCTTGACATATAGTAACAAATTATTGTATATGCTTTGTCATATATAAATTGATGATGGATGATGTCTTCTTATTATTGAATTGCAAGTATTAGATTCTTTTGAATGTCTCTTAAATTTTCAGATAATATGTTGATTTACAATTTCACAATTGCATGCTTTTTCTTTATTTAAGATGTCATCAGATTGCTTAAATAGCTCATGTGTATTATCATGTAAAGATGAAGCATACTTTATAGATAATTTATCTTCTATTAATGTATTTGTAAACATCAACAAGATACTTGACTAATAGGTCATTCCATGATACATTGAATATTACTTTGTTATTAGAAATAAGCATCTTATTCTAATTACATATGAATTCTTCTTAATCTACTATTAAGCAAAAAAAATTTACAACTTTGTAAGTACGTTTTTGTTGATGTATCAAGCACAAAAGAGACTTGATGCATTAAGTAGCTAAACATGGATGGCCAATATTAGTACAAATTTCTTATCTATCATCACAACTTGTGGCTAACACTATATAGTAAATATCTCCTTAATCTTGGTCAAAGCCTAAATATAATCATTCTTTGTCTTAGTTGTTATAAAATAAAAATATGAAGAAATGTTTGGTTTGTTAAAGTCATGGCGATAACATGTAATAGTAGTATTTTGAATCAATTTATTTTGTAAGTCAAGTCCATGAAGATCACAAGTAAAAATTCTTGAGCTAATACCATTGCCATAGGCAGTACAAAGAAAAGATGAATGAATTGTCCTCTAGCATTGCATTAGTAGACATGCTGCACATTCTGGGTGTACAAGTTATCCAACAACATCTCAAGCAATATTTGTTTAATGAGCTTTGTATTTTGAAGATGAACTTTCTCATTATAGATGTCTTCTAAAACAAGCTGAGAATTGACATCTCATTATTTTAAGGTTATAAGAATAAATTTAGATTCTACACTTGCATCCGATATTTGTTTGATGGTTTCATGATCGTTGTGAAATAGTTTGTATGCAACTGGAAATGCAAACAAGTCTTTTATGCCCTCATGGTTGTATTCTATATTTTTGAATTACATTCTCTACTCTATTATACACACATCATTAAAAATTTACATTATATTGTTGCATTCATCATTGAAATTGATGCATTTATTATCAATCATTGATATTGTGTCATTCTTATTAATTTCAATAAAAAAGCACCATTGAATGGTAATGGACCACATGCAACTAGTACACCTTGACTCTGTCTTTTTTTTATGCATTTTGTTTGTGAAGAATACTTTACTATTCCAATAATTGTTGCCATGACTAGAAGTAAGCCAAACTTTTCTACGATCCTTGATCTTGCTTTTCTTTGTGCATGATCTCCATATTAATATCCCTCAAAAAAAAAAAAAAAAAATACACATTAGCCTTGTTTTTCCAAGCAATGCATACATGTAATTTTTTGGTAGATGCAACAAGAGGTTATAAGAAAAAATTGATGGTATAAGAGAAAGGCGCAGCCAATAAAAGGATTAAAAAGGAAGTGTGCCATAATATAAGGGTTAAAAAAAGGTGTATGCCTACCAGATGGATTAAAAGAGAGAGATATGTGTACGCTCACCAAAAGGATTAAAAAAATGAGGGAGATATGTACTTACTAAAAGAGTTAAAAATGAGAGGGAGGTATACACTTACTAGTAAGGTTAAAAGAAAGGAGGGATGTATGCCCACTAGAAAGATTAAAAGAAGGGGGGGTATGTGTCCACCAAAAAGGTTAAAGGAGGGATATGCACATAATTAGCAACTTGTGCACACTAATTGTTTAAATTGAACTTGTAGTCAATTCTGGTTGAAAAATACCATTTAAAAAGGGAGGATGTGCCTCCAACAAAAGAGAGGTGTGTATGTAGTTGGTTCTTAAAAGAAATCGTAACATATATTTTATATCTATTCATATTAATGTTACATCATATTATTTACTTTCAAATATTGTATAAATCATATTTCTAATTTTCTAAAGTAGGATTATCTTTTTTCATTGACATATAAATTTTAAACCTTAATATTTAAAACAGCACATTAAAAAGCTCATGTATTCTTATATTGTCAGAGAAAGCTAAAAGTCACACTAATAGCAAAACACGCCTCGTACCCCCCTCACGTGGAAGAATTTCACGATTAAAAAATAACAAGATATCCTAGATTCTGCAAAATCTAGGTTGGGCGAACTGCCAGTGGAACTGGACTGAGACGGTGCTGCTAGACGGTGCCGATGGATGTAGACAGACATCCACAGTGTTTTTCATTCATCCACGATGCGATGAGGTTCACGGCCCAAGGAAACTCGCAGAGGTTGAAGGGAGGGATTAGGGTTTATGGGATCGGTCTCTGATCGGCTTGTCCTCGGTGTCTGACTTTGCAGTTGGTGAGACGCTGTTGTAATCTCGCAGGTGTGCGCACAGTGTTGTTGGAGTCTGGCGATGGATGTGCCTGAGAAATCCTATTTCATGCTTGTAATTGACGCATCATTTCCTTCCTGGGGTGAGTTTGTACTTTGAACTTTTTCCAATGAAAGAGGCTTGTCTACATTCATGGATGGATCCGTGGGCCTTCCTTTGGTAGAAGTTGGTGTTCGTCGTCTTTGATCCCTCAATGGGGACGATTCTACGTGAAGAAACGGAAATTTGTGCCGGATACAGTAAAGTTTCACGAGGGGGGGGGTCAGTGTCATTGTGTCATGTTTAGGTGGTTAATCTCGATCGGGAAGTGGTCACAAAAGCCCTAATTCAGCGAGCGTTGCGATTTTTTTTTTTTTTTGAGCTGATTGAATGATTCGGGTCATGCCATCATCTAGTTAATGCGTTCATTTCAGGATTTCGAAAAGGATTCATAAGCTGTCTCCGCTTGCTAGGTTCCTTGTCTATAAGAATGGGAGTTTGAACCCTTGTGAAAAGCTGTGGTGCAATTTTATCTCAATCGATCCACGATCCCTTTTTTTTCTTGGTTTTGTAGCGTACGTTTTTTGCGTCCTTGGCGCCGCCTCTCTTTTCCTCCTCCTCCTTACTTTGTAATTGCAAATTGCTTATCTAGAGCTCGTTGATTACTCCCGATATTGCAGTCATCATTACCTTAATCAAGCATCTGCAATGCAATATGTAGTTCACACTCAATATTCTTGTCGGTAGCTTCAGGCAGTGGATTTTGGCCGCATATGTAGGAGAGTTAGGGCGACAGGGCAGTGTTTACTTTCTGATAATGAGTATCTATGAGTACTCTTGACTTCCTTTTGTAACTTGGTTCTTGATTAAATTCAATAATTGATTTCTGTTTTGTGGAATCATTTACAGCTACTTGGGATTCTTTTCCATTGCGGTAGGCTTTGGAGCTTCAAGCACTCAGCCACTTTAGACATGTGCAGTCATCACAGGGAATGCACCGGGTCATGAGGATGCCAACAGGACAATAGGACGCTACGGTTGCACAGTAGGCTTACGTCTTCACAACTTCATTTTACGATGGCCCCAAGGGTCATCTTCATTAAGAAACGATGCCAAACTTCTCTAGTTTTGTTAAAATACATACATAATTTCCGGAATTCGGGAGTCTCTGTTCTTCCTTCAAATCTTGGCAGAGAATCTGGAATTCCAGCAGATCGGGCAGGTATCCCAGTTTGTGTAACGGGTACCTCCAGTATACAAATTTCTAATGAACACTGCGTAGTGGGAGAAGAAGCGAGGTTTCTGGGAAATCTACCCAGACAAGAGGTTAGATGTAATATACAGGTTCCTTCTCATAATGCTTTGTGGAGTAATAATGTCAAGAGAATGTTCTCATCTGCTGTGGGTGGTGGTAGTACGCACCATACTAAAATGGATCAGAAGTACTCCCTTCGTGGCCTTAAGCCTGAAGATCAGACTTCCAGGAGAGTTAGTAGGATTCTTAGGTCATGGAATCATAATACACCCATGGAATTAGAACGTCTGGGTGTGCCTTGGAACCCCTTCATCGTGTGTGGGGTGCTTAAAAGCAATATTCGTGCAAAGAAAGCTTGGGAGTTTTTTAACTGGTTAAAATCGCAGGAAGGTTACACGCACAATGTGTATACGTACACGACCATGATTGATCTATTTGGGAAGGCAGGAAATTACGCAGCTATGGAGAGCGTGGTTGAGGAGATGTGCCAGGAAGGACACTCTTTGAGTGTTGTAACCTACACAATTTTGATACATTGGTACCGACATGCTAAGGACTTAAATGGTGTTCGAAGAGTTTGGAAACAAATGGCTGAGAAGTCTGTTAAAGCAAATGTGGTCACATACACAGCGTATATCGATGCCCTTGTGAAAGGAAACTGTCACCTTGAAGCCATGGAGGTTTTTCGAGAAATGCAAGAAAGCCGGTGCCGGCCTAATATTTACACATACACCGTTTTGATTCATAGCCTTGTCGAAGCTGGGAAACTTGAAGCTGCGACTGAACTGTTTTATAAGCTAGGAGAAGTTAAGTGCACACCTAACGGTGTTACGTACAGTCTGCTCATGGCATCTCACTTCAAGGCAGGCAACTTCGAGAAGGTCTTCACTTTATTCAGGGCTATGAGGGAGAGCGGTATAGGAGCTTCAGCAGAACAGCGATCGGTAGTGTCCCGCTCTTTGGAGGCCTTGGGAATGCCGAAGGAAGCAGGGCAAATACGTTCGGGTGTGGATGAGCTCAAAGTGCTGCTTAAATTGGGTTCTAATGACTTGCTGGCTGATGAAAGTCGTGAGATTTCTGGAAATGAAGAAATGGCCCCAAATTGGCTTCCAAAGCCAAAACAGCTCGCTAAGAAGCTGAGAGTCTGGGGTCCGGAGACTGATACTATACTAGAACAAATTGGGCGGAGACTGAAACCTCCATACGTGATGAATGTTCTCAAGGAACTTCGAACAAATGCCGCATTAGCGTGGCGGTTTTTTCAGTGGGCTCAATCACAGGAGGGATACAAACACACACAGTATACGTACATGAAGGTTGTGGAAATTGTTGGGCATGTATCGAAGGCCGGAAGCAGCAACGAATTAATGGAAAAGGTTTTGTCAGAACTAGAGAAAGAGGGGACGAATGATCTCGACAAGTTCAACACCCTCATTAAGTATTACTCTGAAAACAACAACATCGCCGCCGCTGAACAGGTCATCCTCTATCCTATCATTTTACAATCCACATAATCTAAGAGAAATTTTTGGATTTCAAGAACGTCAGCGTGATGCTAGAATGGCAGTAAGTTTTTCTACAGCGCACATCCAGTGACGAAACTTCCTAAACCAGTTCGCACACCTCGCACAAATAAAAGTATCAATGGCTTATTATCTTGGGTTGCTAGTAGCTCGTGACTATTTCTTGCTTGAGTCGTAAGTCTCACGTCATTCTTCGTGGCTCGTTGTACAGGTTTTCAACCGTATGAGTGCTGTAGAATGCAAGGCCAGTGAAACGACATATACGTTGCTGATTGATATGTATTCAAGGACAGGAGCGCACGCTAAAGCATTGGAAGTGTACGAGGAGATGCAGAAGGCAGAATGCAAGCCCAGCATGCATACGTACACAGTCCTTATGTACAGCTTGGCAAGGTCTGGAAAGATGACGGAGGCAGAAACACTCTTTGAGAGTTTGCCCTCACTAGGCTTCAAACCAAGCGCAGTCACCTACACAGCACTAATGCAGTCGCTCTTGAATATTGGAGAAGATAATAAAGCTTTGGCGCTCTTCGAACGCATGAAAGAGGCCAAAATTAGTCCTACCAAGATCACCCTCAAAGTTCTAGCCAAGGGGTTGCGGAAAGCTGGTCGACTTGAGGAGGCTCAGAAGATTGCAGATTCTTTGCCATACATGCGCGGCATGTTTTTGGAGCCTGAAGAGTCGCAAAGGATCAGCAGGGGCGCCAAAGAAGTCCAGGACTTAGTATCGTCCAACTTCTTCCAACCCATCGCATCTTCTGATGCTTCAAAAGAGGAGTCATATGTTCAAACTGCAGTCTAGTGTTTTCTAACATGAGTGTTGTCTCTGGAGATGATTCCTGCTGCCCAGCTTACTCACATAGTCCATACCGCCTTGCTTGGCGGTAGGAAATCCGAATGAAAACTTTTTCGTGTTGGAGTGAACTTCAAGTTCTATCAGGACATAGATCCTGAGATTTAGGATTGCTATGGTTTCACCATAGCAGCCTTACATCAGGGACCGCCCTTGTAGTTTCTTTGACACCGATTGCTCGCCGAAAGGGCTCTAGAAATGTTGGATTTTAATGCGGCAGTTGACATCCCATCAAAATTGAATGGAATGTGTCATTGGATAGGCATATTCCATTCAATTTTGATCTTAAATTATTCTTAAATTTTATCCGGTGTGCACCTGTCTCATGATTCTTCTGCCCCGACGGGAAATATGTCCTGTTGATGAGATATTTCTCGGTCAGTGCCTTGATTCATGTGCTTGAATTCTGTCTACTGTATCCATTGGAGATATGCTAGTACCTTGTAAGCCACATTCGATGTTAGTGCTAATTTTTGTTTTTTCGTGAAGTTTCGCAACATGGGAAATAGGCATTCAGCATCATGTCAGTCTCAGCACGGACCAGAATCATTAAGAGAAACATGGCGGAGGAAGGTGAACTGAGTAGGACATAGAAAGAGAGTAGAATGAGAGGGTAACAGAGGGAGAATAGTAATGTAGATAGGAATGTATTTACAAAATTTTGGCCAAGTAGGAGCTTAACACAGATTAGAGTGTAAGATTTTCACTTGTGCTTGCTAAATATGTAGGCAAAGTGTTTACTGGAGTGACCAAGTGAAGGTACTCTATCACCAGAAAGAGACAAGTGCTACAAGAAGTGGTGCATTTTCTAGAAGTTGGAGGAGTACCAAAAGAATTATGTGGGCTTTATCCAATCAACAATTTATTTGGTGGGTTTTTTTTTTTTTTTTGTTTTTTTTGTTTGTTGAAGTATTTTCATGCAATCATGTAGTGTTTTTGGTCAAAATTTTCCAAAGAGAAATATTAGTAGATAATGATATTAAATTTGACTTGAAGTTCTTGGCTAGATTTGTGAAGAGTTGAATCATTGTTAGAATAATGTTTTCAATTGATCCTCCAACCAATCCTATAAGTGCAAGGATTAATAAAAAATGTATTATCATTCTTAATATTTTAATGATTTGCAATACAATAAGACTTTGTACTTTTTAAAATTGGAATTTTACTTTGAATCTTTAATTTTTTTAGAATTCAACTAAATTCAAAAGAATTCAAAAGGTATAGAAGTTATTAATCTTTTAATTCTAGTAATTTTTAAAGGTTTATCAAATGAATATCTTAAAATTGTAAGCATTGGATAGGTTTTAAATGAAGGAAGAACAATGGAAAGAAATTCGAGTCTTATTTTTGTTTAACTTGCAATAAATGTTGAAAGTTGGAAGTGCAAGTTAATACCATAAGGAAGAAACTACAATTATCAATCTACAAGATGTTTTAGTTTAGAAACAATCTAATATATAAACAATTGCAAAAGATTGGATAATTTAAAATTCAAGCAATCATACAAAAGACATGATAAAAATGACATTTAATCGAAAGATATGACAAAAATGAATTAAAAGCTAAATAAAAATTCATGTAAGTTATCTAAAATATTATAAATTATATATTTAAGTATTAGATCTCAACTCAATACTTAAACTAATACATAAATCTATTTTATATCAATTATTGAAAGTATATTTTAAAATGATACTACAAAAGAATTACAAAAGTCTTTATAGAGAAATGTCTTCTATTTGAAAGCCTTTGCAAGATTTTTTATAAATAAATTTGATTCCAAATATAGGCTATTAATCAAGTAAATATCCAAAGTCAATAATTTAAATGACAATAATTAAAATTATTTAGATATAATATTTATTTTTTATTTTTGATGAATTAGCTAGTTTCATTCAAGATAATATGATAAGTGATTACAATTTTGATTCTTCTAAGGTCAATGAATATAATTATATCAAAAATAAATCCAAGAAAGTAGATATATTTAAGATAGAACAATTACTATTGAAGAAAAGAAGTCTAAAAGCTACAAACACTTAGCATTAGCAAAGATTGTACTCTAAGAGAAGTGTGGAGAAAGATAATTCTTACTTCTAACACCTTTTACTTATAAGTAGTCGTTTCCTTACCAACGAGACAACTTCCATTCTTTTGATATTACATTCATTTCTACTTCATCCAACTAAATTCTAGGTGCGACCATAGTAACTTTATTTAACTCTTTGCTACCTTTTGACTATTAGCAACATATAGAGATTAAGCATGTTATTTGTAGCACAATACTTCATACCTATTATTCCATCTTCAATCTTCTCTTGTATGAAATGATCTTGAATATCAATGTGCTTAGTCCTTGAATGGTGTTTTTTTTTTTTTTTTTTTTTTTTTTTTTGGCAAATGTAAGACATTCTTGATTGTCACACATAATTAGAGTTGCTTCTAATTGCACTAGTGAAATATCTTCTAAGAGTTGCCTTATCCAACATGCTTCAATTGCATAATGACTTACTGCCATGTACTCTACCTCCATCATTGATTTTACAATGGTAGGTTGTCTCTTACAATTCTATGAAATAGCTCCCACTCCAATGAAGAAGGCATACGTCATTGTGGATCTTCTATCATTTGCATCTCTAACCCAAAGCACATCACAATAACCTTACAAATCAATGTTCTTACCACCAAAGCACAATTTGAAGTCCTTTGTACCTTTTCAGTACCTCAATATCCTCTTTACCATAGTCCAATGCAATGGTCCAGCCTTAGACATGTGTTGGCTTGTGTCTTATCACCACACCCATTGCATCTCTTTTAGTCCTAAACACCCACTTACAACCAACACTAAATCGATTTACTGGAAGGGATGCCAACTTTCATGTACTATTATCCATAAGAGTTTGGTATTTTTCTTCCATAGTCTTCTCCCACTTGATTGCATCTTGAGACTTCAATGCATCACACAAAGGTAACGAATTAGGAAGAAGAGCAACATTTGTATGTTCTTCACTTACTTGAAGAAAGATGTGATCCTTCTATCATTCACCACGTTGCCTTATTTCTTTCGAAGGATATCTCCTTTCATTTATTGAAGAAGATTCAGTTTGTTGCACTCCATACTCTTTTTCAACCTTCTTCTTTCTTAAACCTTATCGTTTTTCACTCAATGATTGATACTCCTCCTCATCATCATCATCATAATCTTCAACATCTTCATTTCTTTTATTACTATTCATAGCAATTGTAGGAGCCATCATCTTTTCAACCTTCGTTGGCTTTTCATCTTCATGAACTTCATTGTCTTCATCTTCTTATTTCTTAACTGAATTCAAAGATGTGTCCATAAACACACTATTAATCTTACTTAGATACATCTCTAAGTGCTCACAAGTACTCTTGTGCTCCAAAAACTCAACATCATGACTTTTGATGATCTTCTTGGTTTCCAAGTACATTAGCTTATATGCCTTAGTACCTTAACAATAACCAAGAAATACACACTTTGTACCTTTTGCATCAAATTTGGACCTCATACAATCTAGTATTTTTACATATGTAATGCAACCAAAGGTCTTCATATGGAAAATGTAAGGTTGTCTCCTATTCTAAGCTTCTCGTGGTGTCATTGATGCAAGAGCACTTGTTGGACACTTATTTCTTGTATACACTGCATTTATTATAGCTTCCATCCAAAATTCATAGCTAAGATTTTACGCATGAAGTATGCTCCTTACCATCTCTATAATGGTTTGATTTGCCCTTTCAGCAACACCATTTTGTTGTAGAGTATATGGAATTGTGGTTTGTCTAACAATTCTTTCATTCTTCAAATAAACATCAAATTGCTTAGACATGTACTCACCTCCATTGTTTGTATGCAGTACCTTGATCTTGCATTTGCTTTATTTCTCAACAGGTGCTTTAAAATCCTTAGATCTCCAAAAGCATTCATTCTTAGTTTTAAGAATGTAGATCTAAATCTTTCTTGAATAATCATCAATGAGAGTGAGAAAATACCTTGATCCTCCAATACTTGTATTCTTCATAAGTCTACATACATCCGAATGAATAATTTCCAACAACTTGGTAGCATGTGTTGCTACACTCCTTGGAAATAAGGCCCTTTGTTGTTTGTCTTGTATAGATCTTTTACATGCAAGTTGTTTTGCATTTTGGCTTGTATTGCCAAGATCTAAGCTACTTACTATAGACTTGAACTCTCTCATGCTCTTCACATTCAAATGACTAATGTGACAATGCCATATATTCAACTTTTCTTAATTTGATGTAAACTCAACAAATGTGACTACATCCACTCCATTCACCTTCTTACAAATGAGATAGTACAAATTTCCCTCTTTCAAGTCTTTGAAGACCTTGTCTCCACTCAATGTTTTTACAAAACATCCATTTATGTCAAATTGAACTTTAAAACCTTCTATTATAAGTTTATTCACTGAAAGTAGGTTTTGCTTTATTTTAGGTACATGAAGGACGTTTTTGAATCTGATCTTATAGGTTTGTCCATTCACAACCACCTCCACTATAATAGAGCCAATTTTAATGGCTTCACATATGCCACTATCTACCAACACCTTGTTTGATGCTCGAATAGCCTCATAAGTGTCAAATGAACACTTATAAGATATCATATGCTTGGAATAATCAGAATCCACAATCCATCTTGACATGGTAGCCATAGAAGTCCCATTTGTTGCCGTGAATGCATAATCTTGTCCTCTAAAGTCATCTTGCATACTATTTATATTATTCTTTTCTATCTTTTTGTCTTTGTAGCAATTGTGAGAAAAATAGCCTACTTTGCTACAAATGAAGTAAGATTTGACATTATCTCATTGATTTGAATAGTTGTGCTTGCCTTGACATGAGTAGAGTGCTGAATCTTCACTTTGAGGCTCATTTTTTTTCTTCTTGGTTACTTCATGGACAAGTCTTGCCGTCACATAGTTTATTGTAAGCTCTTTTAGCTTAATGGAATCCAATGCCATAATAAGGTAGTTTTAGGATTCAAAAAGGTTCATCAACAAGGTCATGACAATATCACTTTCTTCTAAATGCTTGTCTACAATTGTTAGTTGGTTTGCAAGAGTCTTTACCTTATTGACATGAGCTATGAGGTCTTCACCTTCTTCTATCTTTCAAGTGAAGAACTTCCTCCTTGTATAGATGATGTTGGATAAGTTCTTACCCTCATAGATGTTGCGAAGAGTCTTCCATGCTTCCGCTCGTTCTTTGCAAGAGATAATGTAAGAAAAATTGGCTACATCCACATTAGTGGCAATCAATCTAAAAGCCTTCTTTTCACGACGTTTGAAATCTTTCTTCTCCTTCATATCAACATCTATGCTTGGAGCCTCTTCACTTTCATTTACAATATCCCAAAGAACCAAAGTCATCAATAAAAGCTCAATTTTTACCTTCCAATGATAGAAATTTTTACCTCTAAACTTTTCAACAACTCTCAATCCTTCACCTTCACTTGAAGCCATGTCTAAGAAAGAATTGTATCAAAAAAAGATTTTAAAAAGAAGTCCTAATGCTTTCAAAATGAGCAAGAAGGTTTTGTTGTCCTAAAATTACAAAATCCTTCTTTGTGAACAAACTAGTGTTCTTACTCTCAAAAACACTCTCAACTTCACTTTTAAGACTTTTCACAAGTTTGATGAGCTATCTAAGTGTCTCAAATCTGATTTGCCACTCAAAAATCACTCTTATGCTCACAAATCACCTCTATACACCATTAGAGGCCTTTTAAGTACAATCAACAACTTTAGGACATGAAACTATAAA